ACAATATCTTATGTAAATGTTCCTTGGTAAAAGTTTGATTTAAGAACAAAGGGACACAGCTTTTTTTCCTAGGGCTTTTCTGATGGCAGTTCTGACCTCCTGGTTCCTCAGGCTGTAGATCAAGGGGTTTAGCATGGGAGTCACCACTACGTAAAACACAGAAGCCACTTGGTCTAGGCGGTGAGACTGCCTAGAGCTTGGTCGTGCATAGATAAAGCTACAACATCCGTAGAAAATGCCAATGACCATGAGATGAGATGTACAAGTGGAGAGGGCTTTCTGATGACTCTTGGCAGAGTGATCCTTTAAAATGGTCACCAGGATGTAAGTATAAGAGGTGAGAATGATCAGGCTGGTTGTTATTACACTGAACCCCACAAATAAAAACATCAAGAGATCATTAAGGCTAATGTTGGAACAGGCAAGTGCCAATATGGGAGGAACTTCACAATAAAAATGCTTAATGATGTTTGTGCCACAGTAGGATAATTGAGAAGCAGCAGTTGTGTGCACTAAAGCATTTATGATCCCAGCAATATAAGAAAATGCTATCAGCTGGACACGCTTTTTGGGGGACATGGTGATCAGGTAGAGTAGAGGATTGCAGATCGCCACGTAGCGGTCATAGGCCATCACAGCTAGGAGGTAGCACTCTGTGGTGCCAAATAGGCCATAAAAGTAAAGCTGAGTAAAGCAACCCACAAAAGAAATAACTTTATTCTCTTTTAAAAGATTGGATAGTAACTTTGGGGTGACAGACGATGAGTAGCAGATATCCAAGAAGGATAGGTTGGTAATGAAAAAGTACATTGGGGTGTGGAGTTGAGGATTGATCCTGATTAAGACAATCATGCCCACATTTCCCACCAGGGTGATGGCATAAACAGCCAAAAATGTCCCAAACAGGATCAGCTGCACCTGTGGGTCATCGGTCAACCCAGTGAGTATGAATTCTGTCACCTGTGTGCAGTTTCCCATTGAATCGTAATACACTGTGGAAACTGAAAGAATGCAGTAATCAATATGACATGTTCTCTTAAACATTTCAAGTGCAAATAGAGTAACAAAACCTTAAGAATCACTGAATCCCACACACCCAACCCCATATGGCACTGTGTCTGAATATTGGGAGACATTTGCAGAAAATGAGGTGAGAATATTCCTCCAAAATAATGTGTATTATAATGTATAAAATAATGTATTGTAGCGAAGGACTTTTTGTGGAAAACAGAAAAAAATGAAATTACGATATTAGTAAAATTAATAGACTATAGGAAAAATGGATGTTAAGTTGTAATCTTAGAGTAAGAGTTTAATGCATGAATTACTTATATCTGCTGTAAAAGAAGCAAGAAGTCATTTTTTTGTATTTCTGTTACTTTTTTCTTTTTCTTTCTTTTTTCTGCCCTTTTTCTTTCCTTCTTTCTCTTTACACTTCATTTTCTTCCATTCTACTTCTCAATTATTAGTTTTTGTTCATTTTTAATCTTTCTGTTTTTAAAGTTTAATAAAGTTATTAGTACCAATAATGTATATTGTAGCAGATATCTTCACTATGAG